ATACCATCTAGGTTTGTGTAAGTGCATTCTATGATGTCCACACAATGATGAAATCACCTAACACTGCACTTCTCAGGCACGACTGTACGTAAATAAAATGTACACACAGGGCCGGCCCATGGCTCACTCGGGAGAGTGTGGTGCTGATAACACCAAGGCCGCGGGTTCGGATCCTATATAGGGATGGCCGGTTTGCTCACTGGCTGAGCGTGGTGCTGACAACACCAAGCCAAGGGTTGAGATCCCCTTACCAGTCATCTTTAAAAAAATAAATAAATAAAAAATAAAATAAATAAATAAATAAAATGTACACACATACACAGTTTGGGTATGTGTGTTCAATATTTTGTTTTACTAATAGGAGTTCATTATCAAAAAGTTTGGCAATCACTGATCTAGAAAAGTCATGAAGGTATCTGGACAACCTCGCTTAGAAGGTGCTACTACACTGAGTCATTTTCCAAGGAGTCTAGCCCTGGCATCAGGGCCAAGTAAAAGAGAGGTTGGTAAGTACAGGCAAGAGGCCATGACTTTGATGTTGCCAAACGGCCAGGACTCCTGCAGCTCAACCTTCCCATGTTCACATCCTCTCCCCTGACTCCCTTAGGTGCCCCCTCCCCATCTTTTACCTTGTTGAGGAACTGGTTCCAACCAGAGGGGCAGCCCCCCAGAGGTGTAGGTGGCAGGTCTGGGGGCTGTGTCTCTCTGGTGCTGTTGCTGCGCTTGCAGATGTAAGGCAAGGCTGTCAGGCACCTCTGGTCCCCCCAGTCCTCTGTGGAAAGTGAAGAGGAGGGTGGTCACCACAGGGCAGGGCAGGACAAGGCTGGCAGCACACTTGGCTTCATGCCCTGAGAGGAGGCTGGGCTAGGGCTCAGGGCCCGTGTGGCTTTGGGGTCATGGAGACAGGCCCACCCCTCTCTGGGTCTAGCCCTTCTTGGGTTATGGGAACAAAGTCAATGAGAAGGTACTGATGGCCCCTGCCCAGGCTCACCTTACTGCCCCCATGTCGACCCTCTCCATGCTGACTGCACCCTCTCTGCCCCCACCGTGCCCTCACCTCGGCTGGCTGTCATATACACGCACTTCTTGTCCTTGCCAACAGGCCGGGGCTTTCCGGGTGCCCAGGAGATGAAGTTTATAATGGAACCATCTGTCCACCTGTAATGGCATGGAGCAGGGGTGACTCCAGCTCTGGCCCAGGCCTTGGCCTCCCCCATATGCAGCAATGAAGGCTATGGGAAAGGGGGGAGGGAAGGGCCCAAGTCCAGGGGCTTAGTGGCTGCAGCTGAGGAGTGGAGCTACTGAGCTCAGTGAAGCCGGGGACCCAAGGACCCGGTGCCTCCAGGTAAGGCTGCAGCTGTCCCCAAGCACTCATTGCTCTAACTAGAAAAGAAGCCTGAGAACCCCACGGCAAGGACTCCAAGAGCAAAGATGTGCCGGATTCTCAGATTCCCACAGGCTCCTGGTCCTTCCTGACTCAAGCCCCCTGTTGCAGGGTAGGTGTGCACTGAATACAAAGAGCCCCCTCTGGCCCATCTTATGTCCCACTGTCTCCCAGTGTCCTGGGAGAGCCTTATTCATGATGAATGACCCCAGATGTAATAGAAGCTGCCATTATTTAGTTAGTGCCCAATACGTGCCGGAAGCTGTGCTAAAGACTTCACATATGTTACTTCTAATTCTCACAACATTCTAAAGGCAGACCTCATTATTCCCATTTTCAGATGAGAAAACCAAGACACAAAAAGTTAAGTCACTTCCTGAAGGCCACACAGCCAGCGAGGGGTATAGCTGAATTCAAAAGCGGTCTACCTGTCTCTGTGTTCTCTGCTGGGCACAGCCAGCCTGGGGACATGGCTGGCCATCCCCGCGTGCGCCCCATTTCACACCCGCTGCCCGCTAGGGCTCCTACCTGAAGCGCCCGTCGCTCTCCGAGGTATGCAGGCCGATCCACCAGTGCTGCTCCTGGCCCAGGGAGAACTGGGGAGGCAGGGCAGGCAGGTGAGGGCTGGCAGACCCCTGACCCTGATCGTGGGCTTGTCCTCTCATAGTCTGCCGCCTCCTGCTCCCTCACGTGCCCACCTTCTGCAAGTTGTGCCCCAGGAAGTCCAGCTCGGCCTGGCTGTGCACGGAGGTCAGCTCGGCCTGGAACCACGTGCAGATGCGCTGCGCCTGTGCCCACGTGGAGTGGTGCTCGAAAAACTTGTACTCCGCCTCCTGGAAGCGCAGCCATTCCCTCCGGCCTGCGGGAGCAGCGCGGGGCGTGGGAGTGGCGGCCAGGCTGTGGCTGCACGCCAGGCCCCGGCGGAGGTGGCCGCGGCAGGGCCAGGGCAGGCGGCAGGCTGCAGACAGGCCTGGAGCACCTCAGACCCCAGGCAGGCTCCAGGCGCCAGGCCTGCCCCTCCTTCAAGATGGAGGCAGAGCTGCAGGTGGCCTGATCCGGGCCAACTCAGTCCCCTTTCTCTCGGGTGGAACACCTCACCCCCTTCATTTCATTCTGGCCCGGCCATGCCCTGCCTGGGATGTGACGCCCCCTCCCCTGTCCGGGCCGTGGTGGTACGGGGTGGACTGGGGGCCTCACCTTCCGGGCTGACATCAGGCTCCCGCACGTCAGTGCCTACAGGGACAACGTGGACAAAGTCGCTGCGGGGGAAAGGAGACCCTCCCGGGATCCCCGGCCCCGCCTCCCCTTGCTTCGTCCCGGGTCCCCAGCGCCACCCCACCCAACCTCTAGGGATCTTGCAGATCCAGTCCAGCTGCGACTCGCACTGCAGGGCCACCCACTGCAGGGAGGCCAGGTCCAGTACTGCACAACCCCGGATGTTGTCGTCGTCGTGCCGGCTCCGGTCGAAATTGTGGTAAGAAAACTGGGGGAGGGGGAGGGCAGAGGGTTTGTGAGGCACGAGGTGCAGGCTACCCCCATCCCAGAACAGATGAGCAAGGGGCCTGGCCTGGGCAGGGAACTTTCAATCTGGCTGGCATCCCCAACTCTGCCAAACCCCACCCGCCTCCAAGCCCCGCCTGCCCGCCTGAGGCCCCTCACCCCCAGTCCGTCGCTCCAGCGCCAACTCTGACCCCCACCAGGGTCCCGACGGTTCAGGCCGATCCAGAACCAGTGCTGCTCATGGATCTCAGGCTCAGATTCACTTCAGCACAACCCGAGGGTGGGGACAGAAGAGCGGGGAGGTGAGAGGGCAGGGCCCAAACATGCCCCCTGCCCCTTCTAGATGTGACCTGGGCAGTCCCCAGGGTCTGGGGACTCTCCATCTGAGCTTTTACATGGCTGGCCAATACACTATCAGGGCCACTTTTAAAAAGTTCCCTCCCCACAAGAACTGGGGAGAGCTAGCTGGATCAGCTCTCCAGCTCAAGGTCCCCAACTCCAGAGACAGTGGCTTGGCTCCCCTTCCTTTGGCTAGCTCAAGGTCCCTTTGGGTGGGGGATGCCGTGCCCAGGAAGATTCTGCACACTTTTACTTTAGGGAGTTTACAAAGTTCATGGGGATGTAGCAGAAACCTGTGGATCCCAGGAGGTAAACAAATCTGGATTAGATTCCTGGTTCACCTATGGACCAACTCAGTGACCTTGGGCAAATAACCTATCAACCCACAAGGGTCAGTGATAATATCTACTTCATCGAGTTGTTGAGGACTGAATGAAGATTACGTGTTTAGCACAGTACCTGGTGCGTGGTGAGAAGTGATGAATGGGGGCTATTATAATTTCTAGTCAAATAACGTAATCTTGATGTTTGCTGGGAGGAGATACCCCTGGAATTATGATCTCAGAAAGCCTGGATCCATTTGGATTTTTCTCAGTGCTCAGGGATTATAGGTGCTGTGTGTCAGGATATTCAGAGCCCACAGGACAGAAGTGGGGTCCTGCAGGGACCCCCATGAGCAAGTACTCACAGTTGCAGCCTCTCCTATCCCTCAGGAAATACTATTTATGGAGAAGTATGGGTTATTATGAGATGGTATAAGGTGGGGAGAAAATGCTCAACTTGGATCTGCATGTAGAAGATTTTGCAATGGAGAAGCGGTGGGAGTCACTTATATAAAATTTGTGAGTCTAAGGGGGGGCGTTGCTGGCTCCATGATGCTGATGAGCAGCATAGTCTCCTGTGAGTGAGTGGATCACAGCAATATGTTCTCCAGAGACTCCAGGGGATGAGGGATACTTGAGGGGAAGCAGCATGTTCCTGGCACTAGTAGCAGCTACACACATCATTCCAAGCCCTCAGACAGGCCTCACTGGGGTCACCTGCACTCTGCCCAACCCTGGTTCCATGTCCAGCAAAACCCATGCGTGTGCAGGCAGGCCTGTCCCAGACTTATTACCCAAAATTCTTGTTGAGCATATCAGCCACAAAATGCTCCTCCTCATAGCTGGCCAGGCTCAGCAGCTGGGCCCCCACCTCCTGACAGGCCCCCTGGGCCTGGATCCAGCTCTTCTTGTCCTGCAGCCGTTCTGAGCTGAACACCTGCAGGAGCAGAGTCCCACTGTTTAAGCTGTCCCCATCGGCCCACCTCCCCAGGGGGCCCCTGCTGCCCAACCCATGACAGCAGGGGAGGGGGGCTGGGGCCTCACTGGACAAGGGGCTCAGACTAGCTAAGGACAATCCTGCTCATCAGAGAATAAGCCCCAGGGGAAGGGAGCTGGCACAGTCAGCTCCTGGACAGTGCCCCCGTGTCCCATCCCCTAACCAGTGGTGAGTTCTGGGCTTTAATCCCAGCAGAGGCACAGCTTGCTGTGAGCAACCCTCTTCCTAAGCTTCCATTTCTGCACATAATAAAAGAACTTGGACTATGTCAGTGGCTCCCAAATCTGGTAGGGTTCAAAAATACAGATTGCCAGGCCCCACCCAGACCCACTGAATCCAGATCTCCAGAGTGGCAGCCTAGATTTTAATCAGGGTCCCCAGGTGATTCTGAAGAACAGCTAGGCTGGCTCCAACATTTGGGAACCTCTGAAAACAATGATCTCTGTGGCTCCTTCAATTCCTCACATGCACCAGGCCTCAAATTCCACTGACAAGAAATTACCTCTGTCTACAACCTAATGTGGTGTCTCTGGATGATGGCTGTCCCCACTGGGACCCCCCAGGTGAGCCACCTCTTTGCTCTTGCCCTCCTTCTTCCCCCACATGACAACAGGCTGCCCTACCTTATAGCAGTACCGGAGTTTGGGGTCCGAGGCCCAGCCCTGGGGACAGGAGCCAGTGAGGCTGGGTGTGGGGTCTGGCCCCGGCAGCTCTGGCGTCACTGGTGTGCCCAGACTCTGCCGGCAGATGTAGCGAGCCCGGAACGAGGTGCAGTTCTTCACCTCCCACAGCCCCATGGCGCTGCCCGTGGCCAGGGCCACACAGCCCCCACGGCTGTACCCTGAGGGAGGGAGGAAGAGCCACACGCTGAGGAGGAAGACTCATGGCTCGTCCTCTCTGACACCTCTGCAGGGCACCACCACGGCCCTCACACTGGGAACCAGCTTGGCTGTGTCCGTGGGTTCAGGGCCCAGGCAGGAGGAAGGGACTGGAGGCAGAGTCCTTGCTCTATGCTTACTTGCTGTGAGGTCTTAGGCGAGTTGCTTAACCTTTCTGAGCCTGTCTCATTATTGACCTCATTAAGTTATTAAAAGGGTTAAAAAGATAAGGAATGTGAAGTGGAAATAACAGTAACAGCAAGCACTTGTACTATGCTCACTATTCTAAGCACGTTATGTATATTAATTCTTTCTATATATTAGTACTTTATGCATGTTTAAGCCTCACATCAACCCTATGAGGAAGGTACCATTATCCTCACTTGACAGATGAGGAAACTGAGGCTCCGAGGAGGCACACCTAGTAAAGAGCAGAGTCAGGGTCTGAGCCTGGCAGTGTGGCTCCAGAGCCTGTGCTCCTAACCATTACCCCACGCTGTACAAGTGATCAGTGGACTGTGAAGCCCGGGGGCTCAGTCCTGGCAGGGCAGATCCCCCATCGGCCTCCCAGCTTCACCAGGGCAAGTCAAAGAAGGGCACTGGCGGGTGCCGTGGGGAGGGGCTCACCAGGCTGGTCCCGGTTCCAGTGGGTGTACGTGACCTCATCCCCACTGAGCCAGCAGAAGGAGCCAGTGCCGTTGAGGTCCTGCAGGGCCGTCCAGAAGTACTCGCCCTCCCAATTGTAGATGAGGCTGCTGACAAAGGCCTGCTCGAACCTTCGGGAGACAGGCTGGTGAAGGCAGGGAGCTCACACCCCGCCCCCCACTCCCCGGGCCACAGGCCAGACACCCTGCCCTGGAAGCTTGGGTGCTGCGCCCAGCCAACAACTTTCTCAGGGAAGTGGGGACCCCTGGAGGCCCTGCAGCTGACTCACAGAGCACCCAGCTCCCCCTTCTACTCTCTGCACCCCTTGCCTTGCTGAGAAGAAAGCAGAGAAAAGCAGACACAGCCAAGGTTTCCTTGGGCATCCAGCCCATATCTAAGCCTGCTCCTGCCCCACACCGTGGTCGCTTAACAAATGAGAGTTATTCTTGTGACAAGATTTTTAGAAGGCCCTGGAGGCCAGTAAGGCTCAAAGGACCCCAGGTCCCCCTGGGCATGCTGGCAAGATGCTACCCTGTTTGGTGGAAGGGCCACATTAGGCCAGGACATAGGTAAGGGCTGGTCAGGACATCTACCCCCTCCTGTACCTGTTGGTGATGGTGACCAGCTGAGAGCCGTGGTCAGTGCACAGGCGCCGGGCCTCACTGTAGGGCACCTGGTCCTCTCCCAGCCAGTAGCAGGATGGGCTGTGCCATGTCCAACCCTGGCTCAAGAGAGTGGGCAGAAGAGGAATGTCTGTGGAGAGGACCCTTGTCCACAAATCCTGGGGCAGGGATGCCATCGGGGCATCACTGAGTGTGCACAGGACAGCGGGGACTGGTTTGACCCCTGAGATGGCAGTTCCTGTGCTGTGTTCTGCACCTGGTCTCTCTCCACTCCCCCCTCCCCACCGTTACCCACAACTGTCAGACCAGGGGTGGAGGCATGGCCCCAGGGTGGCATGGCTCAGAAAGATGAATGGCCCATCAGACTCCTCTCCTGGGCACTTAATCCAAGAGACACAGTGGGGAAATTGCCAATTGGCTGGGAAACCAGAGCTGAAAAGCTGGCGACAGTAGCCAGGATGTGGAGGGGCTGGGTAATCCTCAGGGGCCTGGAAAACTGGAGTCAGCGAAGGATGTGCCCGGCCTGGGGGTGGGAGGGAGGGGCAGAGAAGCTGCAGAGAAGAGACCACCGTAGCCACGGTGTCAACTCCGAGCAGCTGGCAGGAGCCGGGGCAGAAGGGAAGCAGGGGTGATGTGTGTGTGGTGGGGAAGCCCCATATGCCTGGCAGGGGCTGTGCTAAGACCCCTGGTGATCTGAGTGTTAACTGTGGCCACGCAACATCCCCCAACACACACATTCCAGGCAGGCCAGTGCCAGGGCAATTAGTAATTCCTCTCCACCCCCAACCTCCACCTCACAGAACCGGGACAGAGCCCCTGGGCCAGGCCTGATCATTCTGGTCCCCAAACTCCTCAGCTGGGCTCCTGTCTGCTCCTCCTTAGGGGAGGGTTTGGGATGCGGGTGGAGCGGGGTGTGGTAAGGGGCTTCATCCAAAGGAAAACAGAGAAGCCAGACTGGCAGCAAGGGGATGGGGGAGGGGCCAAAAGGCCACAGAGTGTCCTTTATGAACAACCTCCCCGCACCCGTTCACACCACTCACGCCCCGGCTGGCTGTGGGGCTGTAGAGAATTGAACTATGTCCCCCCAAAACTCATCGAAGCCTGAATTGTGTCCCCCAAGTTTTATGTATTAGAAACTTAGTCCCCACGGTGACTGTTCACAGGGTGAGAAATCCTGTTATGGTAACTGAAAGCCTTGAAGAGGCTTGAAGAGGTGATTGGATTGTAGGACCCTGCAGTAGTGAATGGATTAAAAACGGTGGTCAGGGGTGTGGTTCTGAGGACTTTAAAAGAAGAGGAGAGTCTGTCTGTCTCTCTTTCTGCTCTGCCATTTCGCAGTGTGAGACCCTGCCATCGCTGAAGCCACCACCAAAGAAAGCCCTCACCAGATGTGTTCCTTGGACTCTGGACTTTCTAGCCTCAGAAACCATAAGCAATAAATTTCATTTTCTTTATAAATCACCCAGTTTCAGGTATATTGTTTTAAGCAACAGAAACGGACTAACATAGAGGCCATGGAAGGGGAGCCTGGGAGGGCCTGGAGGAGGGCGATGGGCCTGTCACCCACCCGTGCCCTCACTCATACACTCACTCCCCCACTCGTTTATTCACCCATTCCTGCCTTAATCCCCTCCCTCCCTCCCTGAGCATCTTCTGGAAGCCCACTGGGGCTGGGAACACAAGGAGCGGGGAGGCACATGGCCACCCAGAGTAGCCTCACTCCTCCAAAGGAGACAGACAAGCACACACTGTTTTAGAAGTGTGGCATGTATCAGCCAAGCCGGGGGTGGGGTTGAGGGGAGCAGGTCCAGAGTGGGGTGCACAGAGGCCACACCTACCCCCAGCAGCCTCCGCTCACCCAGACTGTGCCCACCTCCTTGTCCTCTGCTGCTGCTAGGAAGTGGCTTCCCCACAGAGAGGGGGCTTAGGACTCAGGGTGAGGATTCCATCCACCCCTCTGGCTGGCCCCACCCAGGGCAGCTCCAGAAACACCCTCACCTTGCGGCAGCCGTGGTCCTCCTCAGCGGCCCCCTGGCTCAGCTGGCCTGCTTTCTTGCAGATGGATGGCAAGGATTGGTTACAAGGACTGTCATTCCAGCGGCCTTCCTAAGGACACAAGATGCAGGAGAGTCTCAGCCCCTTCCCCACAAATCTCCCAAACCCTTCTTCGAACCTGGTTTCTCGGCCTGGCCCTGCCTCTGACTTGCTGTGTGGTTCTGACTTGTCTCTGTCCCAGGCTGCACAATGGGGAAGCAGGATTAGCTCAACAGGCCTCACAGGGCTGATGAGAGCACAAACAGTTGATGTGCAAATGCCTGGAAACTTTAACAAGCACCTTCTAAATGGGAAAAGGTGTTCTCTTAAATTATTTATACCTCAGTTTATAAAGAGCAAAAAATAAACTGGCTAAGATCGTTAGAGTGACCAACAGCAGGAGAGACAAATGGGATTCCCAAGGTGTCCAGCTAGTACCTACAGAGCCAGGGTGAGTGGAGGCCATTGTGCCCAGACCCGAATCTCAGCTGCTGAAGCTGAAGAGGAATTTAGTCCTTAGCCCCCCTCAGTACCCACAGCTTCCCAGCCAGCAGTGTCTGCTTTTAAGCACCATCCTGAAGGCAAAAGTGTTTGTGTATCACAGCAACCAGAAAAATGCCTGGCACCTAGTAGACACTCAATAAATAGTTGCTTTTAAATTTTTAAATAGCATCCTCTAAGGCAAATGGCTCCGCCGCTACAGTCCCTGGCACTATTTGCAGTATCTGACAGCAGAATGTCCTACCTGTCCCTGGGATGGGCAATCTGTCCCTATGGCTATGTCCCTTTTTAAAGGGTCTCTTAGCTCCGCTTGAAGCCCTACATCAATTCCTTCCCTACCCACACCATGTCTAAGCCAAAACCATGGCAAATAGTTGTAACCCCATAATTTCTTGGAAGACAGGACCCTGGGCTGGTAGGGTACAAGGGACGAGGGCTGGCAGAGAGCAGGCCTGCTTCAGGAGAATCTCCACATAGTGTGGGTTCTGATGCCACCTGCTGGCAGGGAAGAGCAGCTGGCAGGAGATCAAGATGTGCCAGGCAACCCTCTACTAACTTGCCCGAGATGACTCAGCTCTTTGGGGGTGGAGGTGGGATTCAAGCCCTGGCAGTTTTTCCATGTGGAAGGGAAGGGATTGGTGGGGATGTGGGGACTGCTAAGAGGACAATTAGGGGGGGTGTCATGGGCAGGCACTGATAGTAGGATATCCTTTAGCTGGGGCAACACCAGGAGGGCGGGGTGATGGGGGGTCTCACCGGGCCCCAGATGGTGACACAGTCCTCCAGGCTGTCCCGGAAGTTGTTGGGCTCAAAGGGGTGCCAGTGGGTAAAGCTCACAAGGCTCCCATCAGACCATTCAAAATTCATCTGAAGTTTCAAATCGTTGAGGCCGATCCATAGCTCCTCCACCTCTGGGGGTGCATCAGGAGAGGAGGGGAGAGAAGACAATGAGAGATCACCCTTAGCCACCAGCAGGGGAGGAAGGGACATTCTCTGAGCCTCCTGGGCAGGACTGGATGGGTGGTGGGAGGCCCTGCCCTCCCCGGATGTGTGGACAGGCAGCCTCTCACCTTGCTTGATTTGCTTGGTGATGAACTCCAGCTCTGCCATGCTGTGGATGCTGAGCAGGTCGCCACCACCCCGCAGACACGCCTTTTTGGACTCCTGCCAGCTGCGCTTCTCGGCCTGCAGGCGGTAGCAGTGACCCTGGAAGGGCTGCCAGCTGGGCTCGCACTCCACCTTCACGTTGGCCCACCTGTCTGCAGAGACCCACAAGGCCACTGATCAGAGGCCCATCCACCCAGTCTGGACACCAACCCACTGGTGTCAGCACAGACAGTGCCTCCAAGTCACCTCCTCCCCAAACCTATCCCACACATCAGCCCTCCCCACCAGGTCAGGGAGATGCTGAAAAGAAAACTCTCCAGGGCTGCTGCAGGCCCAGGGCCAGAGACCCAATGGTGGTGGAAGATTCCACCCAGGACAGGGCAGCCCCTCTGGCTGCAGCTCTCAGAAAGAGATGGGCGGAGAGTCAGGACACACCAGCTCACCCCGTGAGCCTGTTTCTTGTTCCATAAATGAGGTTTCCTGCCATGGGATTCAAACTTAGCTCCTGGCCACCTTGCTTAATAAATGGAACCATCATTTATTATTTGTTATTTCTCTCAAATAAGACTTATTGAGCACCGACTTTGTGCTAGCTTGGGCAGTCCTGGATGAAGGGAATAGGGACACGGGGCCTTGACCCACTAATGGGGCCCAGCGGGCCCACCAGGGGTCTGAGGCCGTGGTGGGCGGGTGGTCAGGGACATCACGGGGTGCACAGAGTCACTGCCGACTGGCCACATCCCCTGGCTGGGACTCCTCCTCTTACCCCCAACTCCTCTCCCTGCGCCCCAGGGCTGAGAACCGGCCGTTCCGCCCTCCCTGCCCCCACCTCGCGTGCTTTCCAGGTTCACCCTCTAGGGATTGGGGTCCGAGGGCAGCGGAGGCAAACGAGCCCTCGCTCGGGTCTTGGCAAGAGAGAACAGGCCCTCACCAAACCCCCACAGTGCCAGGCTCGGGCAGGATTCTGCCGGGCCGGGCGGGAAAGCGTGTGCGCACTCGAAGCTTCGCCGGGCCTGGGATGCGCGGACCCGCTCCGCCGGGCAGACCGCTCCGGGCTCCAGCCGCAGCTCTTCCCGGAGACCCGGCGCGGTGGGTGGGGCTGAGAGCCTGGGCGGGCTCGCTCCTTGGCTCAGGAACTGCCAATCATCTCTTGTTGGCCAATGAGCTAAGGCCCGAGGCTGCCGCCCCAGGCAGAACACTATTTCAGCGGCTGTTCAGAACCGAGAGGTAGCGCCGGAAATGGAGATGCCCAGGAAAATTGGGTGCTTTCGGGGCACGATGGCGTCTGCCTTGGTGCATGACATGCCGTAAGTGATGAGACCCGGAAGGCAGAGCTCGCCCGAACAACTGCTAGAATATGCCTCATGCAGAGATGTGGGCTGGGGTGAGGGGAGGAAATCCGACGACACAGACATCCGCAGGTCCGCAAGGCCACGGAGGAGGAGTCCCCTCAAGAGCCACACTGGGAAGGCCCAGGGCCCAGTCCCTCCAGGGGACACAAATGGGCTGGGCATGCCCCCGCCCAACCCTCCCCCTGGGTCTCCCTTCCTTAAGAAAGCTGCTTCTGGGCAGACCTGGGCTTGGTGCCCGCCCCAGGCTCCCTCCGGCTAGAGGTGGGGGGCCCTAGATGCTCCTGGCTGTGATATTTCAAGACTCTGCTCCTGACCCCCTAGGGGGTGGGAGGAGAAAGCAGTGGCCGACAATGCTCAATCTTGGGCAAGACTTCAATTGCCAGGAGCAGTTTTGCTCTGTAAGCTCTTTACTTCCTGGGGTTTGTGATTTTTCTGGTTTTGCCATATTTTCTTTGTAAAAATCCCCTCATCGCCATCCCCACAGCTGTAACCCCTCCAACCTACACTGATAAAACACCATCCACTGCCACCTACAGAGACTTCTGTTCCAGGACAGATCTCCAGCCTTATTCACAACCCTGTTAAGGGGGTGAAGTTTATTCTCAATTTTCAGGTGAGGACTCTGAGCTGCTTACTGAAGGCCACACACCAGTAAGGGACACAGTCCCCAAAGCCGGCCGTGCCCATTGCCCCAAATTCCTCTATGAGACCTCAGAGCTACCTCTATGAATCACAAATGTGAGAAAGACACTCCCTGGCTTAAAAACCTGCAAAGGCTCCCCACAACCTGCCTGGCCCCACCCAAACTTCGCCCAGCAGCCAAGACCCTTCAGGGACTGGCTGCAACCTGCCTTTCTGAACTCTTTTTTCCCATGCCCTCTAAGCCAGTGTTCCTCAACCTGTACTTGTACATGAATCACCCAGGGATCTTGTTAAACGCAGGTTCTGATTCAATCAATCTGGGGAGGGGCTTCTCTGCATTTCTCTTTTCTTTTTTTTGGCTGGCCGGGAAGGTGATCCTTACCCTTGAGGAGTGCATTCTAATAAGCTCGGGGGTGATGCTGTGCTGCTGGTCTAAGTAGAGTCTACATTCCAGCCAAACTACAATACTCACCATCCCCTACAGCCGCTAAGGACTCCGTGCCTCAGGCAGCTCCTGCTCCAGGGAGTGCCCTTCCCCCACACCTCTTCATGACTTTTAAATTTACATTCAACTTGAAAGGCCTAAATCAAATGTCACTCCCATAAAACCCTCCTTAATTCTTGGAAGCTTAATCAGTTTTTTCTCTAGTCCCCTCTGACACTTATTAAGCACATTTCTAAAATGGCCTATAACTCAGGATATTCGAATTGTGTGTTGAGATGTCTGTGACCTCCAGTAGACTGTGGTCTCCACAGAGTATTGCTGAGTATTGTCAGCATTTAACACAGTTTTCAACAAATGTTCCCGGAATGAATAACTGGCACGTTCCAGTCTGTTCAGACTTTAGTTGAACAATTAAATAAGAACAGGGAGGCTGAGAGGAAAGGCTGGGCCGGCAGGGGCTGTGGCCAGGATGAGCCCCCGCCCCACCCTGCGGGCCAGACCTCGGCTCACCTGGCAGGGTGGGCTGGGCGGCGGTGGCGTTGGGCTTCTTCTTGCACACATAGGGCAGCGCGATGCTGCAGTCGCGGTTCTGCCAGCCGCCGGATGACTCGGTGCGGATCACCCCACAGTTCTCTTCGCTAGGGTTGTCGGGCTGATCTGCAGGGAGAACAGGGATCCCGCACCCCAGGGGAGAGATGCTCACACCGTGGCTCCTGGGGCCTGCTCACCCCACCCCGACTCCCTCTGCTCCCTGCGCAGCCTGAGCCAGCTCGAGAGGCCCGGCCCCGCCTTGGCTCCGGCTCCACCGCAGGGTCCTCATTGCATCCTCACCCGGGCCCGCATGGTGCTGAACTCTCTACCCAGCAACCAGCTCCAGCCCGGCCTCCCTGGCCAGGCGGCTAGCTGCGCTGCTCATGGCCCAAAACTGCGGCTGAAGGGGTGAGTGGAGGCCGCAATCCAGGCCACTCTCCAGTCTGGGAGCTGGGGCCAGAGCCACCGAGGCCCGAGGAGGGGGCCGCAGCTCCTGATTGGCACCAAGCACTGCATGGGCTTGAGCGGCCCAGTCCTGGAAGGGTAGTGCTCCCCTCCCCCCCATTGCCTGCCTGGAGTAGGGTAGGGGAGAGGGGTAAAAAGGGGGCTAAGTGCCTGTGGGGGCCCTCTGCCACCCTGTGCCCCCCAACCAGCGCCTCACCACTCTCCCAGTTGAGATACTTGAGGGGCGAGTTGTCCGACCACTGCCAGCCTCCGCTGGTGTCCAGGTCATTCAGGCCAATCCACAGTGTGGAGCTGTACCCCGTGAGGAGCCCTGATGGCAAGAGGGGGACCCAGAGAAGGGGGAGTCCCATCCTTTGCCCTCCCATTCTCTCCACTTGCCCTGCCCCCACCAACAACATTCCCCCTGACCCCCAGCAGAAAGGGCACAGGGGCCTCCAAAGATGGGAGCAGGTCTCAGGCTCCTGGGGCCCCGCCCTGCCCCTAGGGTGGGTCAGACCCCAGCCGACCAGCCCGGGACGGGGCCAGCCGACCAGCCTCACCGTTGATGTAGGTCTGCTCATGGATCTCGGTGATGCTCAGCAGATCCGCCCCCTGCTGCTCGCAACTGGCCCAGGCCTCCCTCCACGACAGCGTGGACTGGAAGTTAAACTGGTAGCAGCTGTCAGTCAGCTGGTCCTTGTCCCAGAAGGTCTCACAGTCATTACCTGCCACGACAACCAGTGGTCCCTCCCCAGCCTTTTCCTTCAGGGCCCACACGGGAGTCTTTCAGGAAGTGCAGAGACCCCACACAGGCTGCTCCATGTAAGAGGATGGACAGCTTCTCCGGTCTGGAAAAGTCCCACCGCCCACACCGAGGTCCCTCCCCAGTTCCTGAACCCAGAATTACCAGCCTCCCTCCAGGCGCCTCCCCGTCCCCCCACCACCCGGCTCTCACTCTTGATGGGACAGAAGCCCCAGCGCTCGTCTTTGCCATAGTCCTGGGTGGTGGCACACCACAGGTGCCCATCCTCACGGCCCGTGCTGGTACAGCCATGGAACCACTGGTTGTCGTATTTGAAGGGGATGGTGCACGGCTTCCCGTGGGAGTTCCCCTGGATGGTGTAGACCTCTGCAGGGAGGGGAACCAGGCCCTTGGCATGCGGACCCCAAGGTGGCCCACCCCCTCACCCCTCAGGGAAAATCTATAACTCAGGGAGCTTGGGTGGGCAGAGATCAGCAGAGAGTGGAAGGGGGGCAAAGGCGCCAGACAGTGGCTTTAAGGCTCCTTCTGGGAGAGGTGAGGTCTTGCCTCACCTCCCGTAGGGCTGGGAAGGGGCTCCCCCAATGCCTGTCCAAAATCCATCGGGGTGAGGGGGACTCAAGTTGCCCACAGAGGGCTGAGTCCAGTGGAATCCCTGCTCAGCTAACCCAGCCCCAGGCTCTATGCCTCCCACCAAAGTTCCATCTTGGAACTCAGGGTGGCTTCCAGGAAAGGACCCCAGCGTGGAGCTGCCCACCATAAGAGGCCCCTCACTGGGTGGCTCGGGTCCCCACTGACCACCTGCAAAAGAGGGATTAAGACACCTGTGGGGGGTTATCATGGGGTCTCCCCCCAGAAAGTGGGCCTGGGAGAAGGGAATTTTCACTTAATATTATGTTATACACTTTTGTGCTGTTTGAAGTCTTTACAAGTTGTGTGTTAATTTTTGAAATCTTTAAAAAAGTAAAATTAAATGCTTTAAAGTTAATTTCCTTAATTATTCAAAAATGCTTCCTATTACAGTTAAAGATGTGACTGCCAAGTGTCCACAGAGGCCAGAGGCCTTGTCCCTGGGGTCTGTCCCTCCATGGCTCCAGTCCCCTGGACACCAGGGACCCCACCCCTCGCCTGCAAGCACCCCCTCACCATAGTAGGGCAGAGCACACAGATCCTCCTCGCTGCCGTAGATGCGCCACTGGCCACCGCGGGTCTGGTCACCACGCTCAAGGGTGCCAGGCTTTGACACATTGCTGGTGCGGGCCCCCAGGAGCAGGGACAGCTGGTCACCCAGGGTACGACAGTGCCACCGAAGATTCACTGCCTCCCGGTCACACTCATACATGCCCAGGGAGGCTGTGATGTTGGTGCCCGGCCAGCCTGTGCCCAGACACTGCATGGCGCCCAGGTTGAAGAGCCGGTTTCGGGAGACCCATTTCCAGCGCTGAGCAGGGAGACTGGCATTGCAGCCTGGGGTGACTCTGACCTGCCCACCCTGGGCCTCCAGGCAGCCCTGAAGTCCATGGCTGAAGATGAGGAAGACGTTGGGTTCTGGAAGGGAAGGCAGTACATGAGCCATCGCAGGGGCTCTTCTGGCTTGCCCTTGACGACTGATGTGGCTTACAGACCAGGTGCCCAGTGCTGGGTTGTGAGCCTTCTCTTGTGTTAAATCACTCAGTCCTTACTACCAACCCTTGAGGTGGGGGTGAGGGCCGTGCTGTGCCTCCATGCCCAGATGAGGCAGAGCCTGGATGGCCAGCCTCTGTTCTAGCCCCAGGCCTACCTGGAGGCAGGACTCTGTCCCCTGTCCCACCCCCAAAAGCTAACCCAGTTCCACAAGGCACAGCAAGGACTGTATACTTTTCTGAAGTTCTCATGGGGAACAGTGGGGGCATTTACATCACACAGCACACTGCAACCGCAACCTCAGTCTGGTACACAGCAGTGGCTTTCTGCCAAAATCCTTCTCTGGCCTGTGGGCATTTTGTCTCTCACTCTTCCCCCTTACCCCTCAGCCTCACTGGTTCCATCTTTTACTCCTTCTAAAATCTTCCCAAACCACTAACCATCCCCCCAATACCTATTTCACACCTTTTTTTTTTTTTTTGTCTTTTTTTTTTCGTGACCGGTAACGGGATCGCAACCCTCAGTGTCGCACCCGTACCGCGACCGGCAATGGGATCGCAACCCTCGGTGTCGCGCCCACACCGCGCTCAACCAGTGAGCAGACCGGTCTCTATATGGGATCCGAACCCTTGGTGGGAGCCACCGAGTGCACCACCGGGCCGGCCCTCACACCTTATTTTTTAGACAAAGCAATTTAGCTCTTTGGCTTCCTCTAAGTCTTGCATCTTCTTGCATCTTGTCACTCGTCTCCTCACTGAGCAGACACCCGATGGGGAAGACATTGGGAAAATCCAACCCTGTCTCCCCAGCACACCTGCTTTACAAACTAAGAAATAAGGCTTAAATGTATAGAGACAGAAAGGAGATTAGTGTTGCCTGGGGCTGGAGTGGCGGCGACTGGATTGGGAGTGATTACTAAAGGGTACTGTTTCTTTTTGGGGTAATGAAAATGTTCTAAAATTAGATTGTCATGATAGCAGCACAACTCTGTGAATATATTAAAGCCCAATTAACTGTACATTTTAAATGTGTGAATTTTATGATATGTTAATTATGTCTCAGTAAAGCAGAAAGGAAGAAGGAAGGAAGGAAAAGACAAGACAAGACAAGACTGAGGCTTAGAGACATGAAATGACTTACTCAGGGTGTCACACAGCCGGCAAGCAAACCAAGGTCTTCCCAACATCCATGTTTTACCATCTTTCTCTTGTTCCCTGGCTGCCACGTGAGTACACAACACACACACATATGGCACATCCCAGTCTCCAAAGAACTCTTGCATCCACTGGCCACTAGCTCCTCAGGATATTTTTCATGCCTTGAAAGCATGCACGAGATGGCTAGTGTTTGAATTCTGGCTCTGCCACTTAATGTGTGGTGAGTTGGGCAAGGTGCTTAGCTTAACCTCGCTATGACCCAGTTTCCTTATTTTAGGACTGTTGTAAAGATCGAGTGAAAAAAATACATGTAAAGTGTTTGGAACAGGGTCTAGCACACAGTAAGATCACGATAAGTATTTATTATTATTATTATTCCATGTCATAGGCAAATAAATTGACTAAGGTCCATGAAGCAATTTGATGACCAGAGTCACAGAGCTGGTAAGGGATGAGGCTGAAATTTGGCCCTAGTCTCCTGAGCCCAACCAACAAATTCTTTCTGTTCCCCCATGCTTGCCTTATCATCCTTCCATGGAACAGCCAGAATGATCTTTTAAAGATGTAAATCAGTCCTAGAAAAAGGTTTTTTAATATTATCGGAGTGTTGAAGGTCATAAAGAAAACAGTGACAAATTCCATGGCATAAGAAAATTTTTTTAAGGCAAGATAAATGCCACAAGCAAATTCAAAATTCAAATGACAAAAATATATGTAACTTATTAGAGGTAAACAGGTCATTTCTAATGTAAAAAGAGGTTCTACCAAAAATACATAAATAAATAATGAGAAAAATATCAACATGGCAGTAGAAAATGAGTAAAAGACATGCATAAAGAGCTAAAAAGTGAAATGCAATTAGCTCTTAAATATTTGAAATGACAGCCTCGCTTCAAAGGAAAGTAAACAACAGAAATCAGGTAAGTCTCCCTCCTGCTTCAATTGCTTCAAAGGTGATTCATTCTTCAAATAAATTCAGCCTCCTTACTATGAGCCACACTGACTTCCTTGCTCTTCTTTGAACAGGCCTGGCTCTTTCTCGCCTCAAGGGCCTTCACACTATTTCCTCTCCCTGGCATTTCACACTTCAAAAAAGCAAAGCCCACAGTTTTACAGAGGCCCTTCCCGGCCTCCCCATCTAAAGTGACCACAGTTACTCTCCATCATATCTCTTGATTGTAGTTCTCTTCACAGCATTTATTATTTGTTTTTGTTTTTCAATATCTGGGTTATCTTATCTGTGAGTCTGCATCTACTGAGTATTTTTCCTCTTGTTCATGGGTCACTTTTTCCTGCTGCCTACATGTCTAGTAATTTTTATTATATACTGGACATTGTTGATCATATTATAAGGAGACTGGACTTTTTATTGTATATCAGACATTGTGGGTGATATGTTACAGGGAATCTGGATTTTTTTTTATGTTCCTATGAAGAAGGTTCAGTTTTGTTCTGGCAGGCAGTTAAATTACCGGTGGATCACCTTGATCCTGCGGAGGCTTGGTTTTCAACTTTGCTAGGGTGGGGTTGTTTGGGCTTTGCCTTTTGTCTTAGGGTGTGGCTCTTAGCCTTGGATTTAATCATAAAGTGAGGCCTCTCTGGGGTTTCAAAAGAAAACCTTAGGTGATTATCAAGCCCCTCTAACTTGGTAGAATTTGAATTCCAAACTGTTTCCTCAGCACCAAGCAGCAACTGAAACACCTGCCTCCCAGGTGCTGTTTCTTGCTGGGCTGCTTAGATTCACCCTGCAAATGCACAGCTTAGGAGTCCTCAATGATGTGAGGAGGATTTGTAGAAGGAATCTCTATGACTCATTCCTTTCCAGCATTTTCCCTCTCAATGTTTAGCCTTTCTGGTAGCCCCAAACTCTGTCCTCTGTTTTTGCAGATCAGTAAAACTGTCACTATCTGTTTGAGCTCCTCAAACTGGACAGTGTGCTCAGGGAGAAAAGCTGATTCAATATGCCACTCACCTAGTTTGCTTTTTTCTTTCAATTATTTTTCCTCTCTGCATCTGTCTTGTTTTAATTGCTCTCCAGTGCCTTCAAACCTCTCTATTTTATAGTTTATCCTTAGTCTACAAGCATTCTTGGCCACAGAATTAGACTGATACAAGCTACCATGCCATTTCTAGAACCAGAACTCACTGACTTGCTGTTGTTTATTTTCTCTGTCTCCGTCTTATTCATAAGATTCTGAGGACTTCCTCTGTCTTCTCCACCACTGTATTCCCGGCACCTATAACTCTGCCCAATACACAGTAATGCTTAAAAAATGAACAAATGAATGAATCTTATGCCTAGATAATGATCACAACCAGTCAGCCTATCTTTCTGCTTCTTGTCCCAGCTGCCAGAATAATTTTCCTAAAGCACAGTGCCCACAGCCCCCATCACTAGTGCTCAAAACACCACAGGGGAAGGGCTGGTGGGGCAGGGATCCTGTTACTCTATCCTCGGACAGCGCCTGGATGGGGTTCCTCTCTGGGAAAGACACTGGTGATCTTCCTGAAGGACCACTAGGGCGACTGCCACAGCTAATCCTCCCCTGTCTCTGGGTCCTCTGCCCTTAACCTGCTCCTTCCTTTCTGCTCTGGACTGAATGTTTGTGTCCCACCCCCACAACCCCTCCACCAAATTCAACCCCCAAGATGACAGTATCAGGAGATGGGGACCTTTGTGAGGTGCTTAGGTCATGATGGCAGAGCCCTTGTGAATAGGATTAGTGCACTTATAAAAGAAGCCCCAGAGAGACCCTTGCCCTTTCAACCATGTGAAGTTATAGTGAAAGATGGCTGTCTCTGAGGAAACAGGTCCTCACAAGGCACGGAATCTGCAGGTGCCTTGATCTTGGGCTTCCCAGCCTCCAAAACTGTGAGAAATAAATCTCTGCTGTTCATAAGCCACTTGTTTATGGTATTTTCTTATAGCAGTCCAAACAGACTAAGACACCTTTCAATCACCTTCCAGAAACCATAAACTAGCCCCAGGACTTGATACAGGCCCTGCCCAAGCTTCCTTTAAGAACTGGGTATTTGATCTCAGAAACTCCACTCCAGCAAGGACAGTCAGTAGTGATGGAAAGTGGCCCTTGGCAGGGGGTATGGAAAGGGCCTGGGACCGGAAAAGGGAGAAAGTGTTGCTTGCTTTTAAAGATGCTTTGCAGAGATAGGACTGGAAAATGAGGCCCAAAACTTCACAGGAGCCTGCAACAGCCCAGCGGTATCTGCCCCTCCTCCCCAGCCCAAAACCCACATGTGCTAAATCAGTTCCAGCCTGGCTGCAGCAGTTATAACAAATGGCAAAGGAAGTGTCCGGAAGAGGTCCATGTTAGTTGTCAAGGGTCACTCTCAGGGTCAGGCCGATCTCCCCTCACCTAACAGATGAGGAAACTGAGACCCAGAAAGGGAAACAGATTAGGATGTCCAATTGCAGTACCTTTCAAGGCCTCAGTTTCCTCTTGTCACAAGGCATGGCTTAGAGCCTCCTCCTCCCTCTGATGTCCTAGGTTCTGGGTTCGAATCCACCTAACTTACTGGAGCACCTGCTATGTGCAGGGCATGTTCCAGACAATCCTGGGGCCACGAGGAAAATCACAGCACTGTCCTTGCCCTTGCAAAGTTTGTATCCAGTTAGAGAAGAACTGTGGGTTGGGACACAGCAGGGAATGAGGGCAAACAAGCCCGTGAAATCCCAGGTGTCCTGGGGTGTTGGAGAGAGCTCTGTGCCTCCCAGGGGCCAGGAGACTCGATCAAGGCAGAGATCTGAAGAAACTGAGGCTCCGGAAGAGGCAGAGGG